TAAAGGCACACGTGCGAACTGCAGTAACTACAGAGGTTTCTCCTTGCTCTCCATAGCTGGCAAATACTTGCTCGCATCATTCTCAAAAGGCTTATTGCGGCATCATCAGAAGATAACTTCCCCGAGTCCCAGTGTGGTTTACGCCCAGACCGCAGCACCGTTGACATGATTTTTGCAGCGAAACAAGTTAAGGAGAACCCTTGAGCAGAACAAGAATCTGTATACTGTCTTATTGGACTTGACGAAGGCATTCAATACAATCAACAGAGACGTACTGTGGGTAGTACTCAAAAAGTTTGGGTGTCCTCAGAAGTTTACCAACCTCATCCGGCTCATTCATGATGACATGATTATATTGATTGTACTCGCTCCGGTACTTATCAACCTCTTCTTCAAGCAGTTCCTGATCCGCGCCATCCGTGATCTTGACCTTGGTATTTACATTATATATCGCTTGTATGAAATAGTGTTTGATCTCCGTCGCCTACCTGAAAAAAAATAAGACGTTAGACAGACTTATTACTGAAGCACTCCTTGTAGATGACTGCGTCCTCATGGCCCATGAAGAGACTTACCTACAGGCAATCGTTGACGGGTTCTATGAAGCATCAATCTGTTTGAAGTCACAATCAGCTTCGGAATGACAGAAGTCTTCTTCATGCCCGCCCCAGACACTGTCTCTTCATAACCCTGCATCACCATTGGCGACACGCAGCTGAAGAATGTGGACAGTTTCAAATACATAGGCAACACAATATCCAGTGATGGCTCCCTAGACAAAGAGATCACTGCGATGATCCAAAGAGACAATTAAGCACACGGACGACTCCTAACAAAGGTCTTTCAGCACAAGGACATACACCTGTCAACAAAAATGAATGTGTATAATGAAGTTTTCCTCACGTATCTCTTGCATTGCTGTGAAACGTGGACTGTCAACCAAAGGCATATCAGTCATTTGGAACAATTCCACTTGCGCTCCTGAGATCCATCATGCGGATCAAGTGGTAGGACCGAATCTTTAACGAGAAAGTGCTTGGTAGAGCCAACACAACAAGCATCGAAGCCAAACTAATTCAGGCCCAGCTTCGTTTGATTGGCCGTGTCATCCGCATCGATCAAACCAGAATCCCAAAGCAACTGTTCTTTGCCGAGCTAGCCCAGGGCAATCGAATCCATGGCTGCCCTCTCAAGAGGTACAAAGACAATGTCAAAACGCATATCAAAAGGACAGACCTTCAACCCCAACAACTCGAGCTCGCTGCCTCAGACAGAAGTCACTGGCGAGCCCTGACCAGAAAAGCCAATTCCACCTTCGAGTCTGACCGCCACCAGTGGGCCTTTTTCAGCTCGTGAGAGACATCACAAAGTTGCGTCCCGGCCACCTCAACCACCGATGTACCATGCCCCACCTGCAACCGCCTGTGTGCATCGGAATTTGAACTCCGGAGTAACAGGCGCGTCCATAGATAAGACCGCACAACGTGTTTTCCTCAGCCCGAGAGACTACCTTAGATAGATAGATATCTAACGCGAAATCCAAAACGACCACGGAGCATGACTATTTTCAAGTGGATTTACAAGTAGTCAAACAGAGGATTTGATCCGGAAATTTATGTACATATCGTCAAAGAACCCGTCAACCGACGATAAATCCCAGTAAGTATATAAAGTGTCTACCGATGTGTGCAGATAAGAGTGTTTGCAAACATTTGCATGTTTTAATAAATAGGCGATATCAGCCCATAAACATCACTCAGTAGCATAACAGATATGTCGATAATTTATCTAGCTGATGAGGATTGGGCAGAGAGAGAGAGAGAGAGAGAGAGAGAGAGAGAGAGAGAGAGAGAGAGAGAGAGAGAGAGAGAGAGAGAGAGAGAGGTGGCATATTAATAATAATAATAATAATAATAATAATAATAATAATTATTATTAATAATATATAATAATAATAATAATAATAATAATAATAATAATAATAATAATAATATGATCAAGAAACAACAAGAAGAGCATAGTATGTAATCCTCATCACATCTTTTATCTTACCCTGTTCGTATAAATTTAACTTTTGAAATCATAACCTCATCACAAGAACATAAAGATTTCGAAGTTGGCAAAATAACTATCAAACTGTAATATAAACAACAAAAGTGATATAACAGACAAAATAACTGTCAAACTGTAATATAAACAACAAAAATGATACAACAGACAAAATAACTATAAAACTGTAATATAAACAACAAAATGATATAACAGACAAAATAACTATCAAACTGTAATATAAACAACTAAAATAATATAACAGACAAAATAACTATCAAACTGTAATATAAACAACTAAAATAATATAACAGACAAAATAACAGTCAAACTGTAATATAAACAACAATAATGATATAACAGACCAAAAAAAACCCCGTCAAACTGAAATGTAAACAACAAGAATGATATAACAGACAAAATAACTGTCAAACTGTAATATAAACAACAATAATGATATAACAGACCAAAAAAAACCCCGTCAAACTGAAATGTAAACAACAAGAATGATATAACAGACAAAATAACTGTCTGATATAACAGACAAAATAGCTGTCAAACTAAGGTAATCAACAAGAATGATATGAGGGGCAAAACAAATGCCAAACTTTAATATAAACCACAGTGATATAACATATAAAGCAATATGAACCACAAGAATGACATAACAGACGAATAAGTATCTCGGTGCAAAGAACAGGAAAACTTCAAATCTGATTGAGCAAAGATAGATATCAAAATAACACAATGGATGCTACTCCATTTCAGTCCGAAAGAGATAGGCAGACTCATACATAGATACACACATGCAAACGCACGCACACACACGTATTTGTATATCTTATATAATAGGTGCAAGAGTGTTTACATCTACTTATAATCATTCGCTTTAGTTCGAGTTTCCAGCCAAACGAAACACATCCAGAATGATTTTCTCCGATATGTTGATAAGGTCAAAGGTTCAAACGACACACCTCCAGAAGGAATTTATCCGTTAGACCGATAAGGTCAAGTGTTCATCCAGCGCCCATGTCCCACATCCTTTTAACTAACTCGAGTCAGCCATGTTGTTAAAACTTGCACCGCGACCCACACTGTGTGTGTTTTCTCGCAACAACTAAAAATAAAGAGCCTGTGGTCAAAGGTCAGCTAGTAAATATAAATTCTTTCAATTTCTATCAACAGACATAAAATGTTTATATTTATTTGGAGTTTAGCAAATCATGTGCCCCACTGTAACAACTTAGACTTACGTGTGTAAATCAAAATACGTCGTACAATAATAAAAACTAAATAAAACTACCCCCAATCTATCTGCAAACGAAATCCGTAAATTGTTAGCTGTTTTACCTTTGAGATCATGCATATATGACGTCACGCGATTTTGGCCGCATTTTTACTCTGTATCCCTCTTCATACGTCGTAACAAAATGTCAGACCCCTCAAATATGACGTCACAAAGCTCTGCCTCTCTCTCTCTCTCTCTCTCTCTCTCTCTCTCTCTCTCTCTCTCTCTCTCTCTCTCTCTCTCTCTCTCTCTCTCTCTCTCTCTCCCAAAAAGCCGTATTTTCTATTTGAAAAGTTACATGTTTCAAATCACTTTATTGTCATTGTAGTATTATTTAGTGTAACGCTGCACGTTGATAGTGTAAAAGAAGACACTGGAAAGCTGAAACTGGCATAAAATTCTTTTGAAAATATTTGCCGTCTAGCTAAAGCTGCAGAAGTAAATTTGGCTAGAACAAGATCATTTCAAGCTCGTTTTGTCGACTCCAGTGGACCGTAAACGGAAGAATGATAGTTGGAATAAGCCACTATGGGGACTAGTAAGGGTGTTGGTAGTTAGAAGACGAATCCATTTTAATTTGAGCTCATGTACTTCACGCGTGAACGTCATTAAATAAATTGTAAGCAATTAAAATATTAAGTGGAACTTTTTTTTAAAGTTGGGCATTTTGATGTGACTTCATATTTCTTAAACATCCCCCTCGTCACACAGCGTCACAAATGTGTGACCCCCTCCTCCCTAGGTGCGTGACGCAATTTATGGATGCCACCTTTCTTGATAATGTCATTTTAGTGTCAGTTATGGTATATGGATCATCATGCTTTCATATTGTGTGCGATGCTGTGCAAAAGTATGTACCGCGAATCTAAATCCGGTTCAAACACGTAATGGTGGAATCGCTGAAACATGTGTTTGATGTGAATTTAAAAATTTTAAATTCTTGAAAATAGAATCTCGCCGGTGATATCGCTGCCGCGATGACAGCGCTCCTGGGGAGTAAATATACTGGTAAAAATACATATGGATCCGTCATGAACCTAGATAGAATTTTTGCGGGCATACGATGCCGCATATTATCTCAAGTTAGCGACAGAGTCAAAAGTTAGTAAATAACGTCGCCATAGCGTTGCTAACCAAACAAGCGATGTGTCAGATCTTACCTACCCGTAAAATTTCGAGGCATGTACTATTTGTATTTACTCCCCCGTTTATGGTATTGTTAGATTTAAGTAGTTAATTGTTTGATTATATAGAGTCATTGTTGGGAAGATATTTATTAACTTAGCCGTTATACGTTATAACGTACAGTATTTGCGGCTCTTTATAAAAGTATTGATTAGTATTATTAAAATGGACCCTCCCTAAATCTTAACAGAAGTTATATGGACCTTTTTAGGTAAGCGTGTCTAATAATATGTCATTGTGGTTGTGATTTGGATTTTTAACGTAGCTTTAACAATTTTTCAGTCATATCGCTACCCTGTCTGCAGTGTGGCAGTTTATAGTGATGTCTAGTACTGGTACATCATGCCACAGACATGTAGTATGATCTCCCACCCAAACACATTATCCTGACACAAGGCTGAAAAGTCCTAACACTAACCTCTTTATGCTGAGCGCCAAGCTAGGCAGCTGTTAGTACCATTTTGGTAAGTCTTTGGTATGACTACACCGGGGATCGAACCCACGACCTCCAGAATCCGAGGCAGACGCACTAACCACTAGGCCATCGGGGCGGTCTCTAATAATATGAAACACGAATAGTTCTTATCATCGGATTCTGCTTTATATGGTATAGCGTGAAGAATTAATATTTAACGCAGAAAGGCTTATTCAGTTAAACAAATAGGGAACACGAGAAAAGCCAATTCAAGTGAGAAATTGGAGTCTAATCATCTACGGTCATTGGGTGGTTGGGAAAACTACTGTAATATTTACGCGTTGAAAATCTTTCAGGTGACAATAATTGCTCTCTTAAGGTCTTTGGTAATGGGAAAATATGGACTATCACACAATGCTAACGCAGGTGTTTGATTCGCTTTGTATCATACCCATTTCGAGTAACAGTATGCAGCGGATACAGGGATGCCTAATCTTTGAAGTCCAAAGATTCAGCGAGTGTTGAAGACACGTTGAAACGTGTACATGCACGTTCTCTGCTAAAGTGACCGAAGCTTTTGCAGGTAGATCACATTATAAAATTTCTCGTAGCCGTTGTTGCTTCATTGATGAAACACACTGTGCGGGTTCGACGTGGCCATGTCGGCAGAAAGATTATTCACGCATCACCACGCGCAAGACTATTTGATACGGTCCAAACTGCTCACACTCCAGGGTGCTCTAGGCGGTGGGTGATGTGACATCTTCCGGTATTAGCCGCATTAAACAATCAAATTACACGCTCGATTGAGTTAAAACCTGGTGATCAATTCGGTTGAATACCGTCGCTGTGTCAAAAGCTGCTTTGCCTTTGAAGCCACTCGCATGTATGATAATTGTTTGCCCCGGAAGAACTGGGAGGCGGGTAACATCGTGATACTGACCCAGTGCGGTCGGTTGAGGTAAATAATATCTTGTACCTGATTAATGTTCGGAAACAGCCAACGTGCTCCCACTTACCACTGGACGAACGAGGAAAGGCCTCCTGGTAGAGCAATTCGTGCGAGATGACTTACAAGTCGCTCCCACTAATACGAAACTACAGCTGAAATATATTTTTAAACCTGCGATTGCTCATATGATTAAGTGGTGATCCGTTCAGTGAATATACACCGCTTGGATGCGAACCACAGATATTAGGCACTTCTGACAAATTGACAGTTGTAGTGTGTATTTATTTGCATTTGCAACATACACAGAGAGATGTTACCTCTATGCCACTTTCATGTACTGTGGCTGAAACTTATTTACACTTTGTAGTTGTGCAAATCATGCATGATATAAACAATACAGTTGATCAAAATGTCTGATCTAATTTACTTGCTAATTTAGCAGTTATTAAAATATGGAAAACAAATTTTGCCAGAGTAGGCAACTATATAAAAATTGGATATGCAAATTATTGGTTCATTTTTTCAATTTACTTTTAAAGTACAGGAAGTGAAAATGACCAAGCGGAGCTATCAGTTTTCTTCATAGGTACAAATCTGTTGTGAAGCTAAGTTGTGTATACAATAATACCCATGAATCATAACCTAAAGGAAGGGAATTACAAGTTTGATTAACAGTACCTAAGCTATTCAAGGTCTATGTTAAATAGACAGAGTAACTAGTGAAGAAAACCTGTGAAGTTCTTTTTCTTTATAAAGCTAACCCGATAAAAGTTACAAAACGGTCGAGCACAACAATAGTATAAAGCGGAGACACGCTTAACATAACACCCATGCGATGTTTTCGTGACTGGAGAAGATTTGCCATGACGTTCTTAAAAGCGTTGTTGAAAAACGAATGATCATTTGGGTTCCCAATGTTGTTAAATTATGCAGCATCTGCATTTTTGGTTTTGCCGTACCAAAATTCGATTTTTAACAGAATTCATATTAAACGTTTAGATGAGATTAGTACGGACACACACACACACACACACACACACACACACACACACACACACACACATATATATATATATATTTATATATATATATATATATATATATATATATATATATATATATATATATATATATATATATATATATATATATATATAAGCTTTATCAAGTTTTTTTTTTTATTTCTTCACGGACGGCAATGAATCCGTCGGGAAAATTTTATGCAATTATGAGAAGTCTGTAATAAACGTGAGAAATTATTATTGCTCGCTTTCCCAAACAGTATGAATGTGAAATCACTTCAAAAGATTTTCCATTGTTTTGCAGAATGCTGCATCGGTCAACACCATGATCAACATTTTCGAAACTGATTGGTTTCGACTGTGCTTAGGTTGGTATTCATCCGAATGTTAAAACAACAAATTGACGCACAGAACACGCATTTCCCATCGTAGACACATTCCTTATATAGGCAACATAGTTGAGTGTCCTAAGCGGTTTGTGTACAAGCTTGGTACATTGACGAACTTGCCATTTAACTCATTCAATGACCCACACTTGTACGGAGACAATCACATGCTGGGCACCAACAACGCTTGTGGGTATTCCAAATCGACTTCGGAGAGGTTTTCCAGTAACGCTGTTACATGTACATGTTATTGTATTTTTACATACTCGGAATTGATCCAATTCAATTCACCTACGGTTTCGGTTGTGTAGTTCTCCAGAGTACGTAATTTCGGGAGCGCAGTGCCGTATCCACCAAAGCCCGGACTATATCAGCGAGCATATCGGTATCTAGTCATGGAAATCCCGCCGCAAATACAGCAAACCGATGCTGGTCAATGCCTGTCCCTGTGATGAATCGTAGTGCTTGTTGTCGAGCTTGTACACTCACAGAACAGTATCACAGAAAGCCTCAAAGATATATGCAAACATCATCACGTCGGTGCGTAGATACAAACGTTGTAGTCACCGAGAATTTGGCAACCGAAATCGGACCAAATATTATTCGTGTGCGCGTAGTCATTGGCGGAAATACTTCCGAGAGTTGTAGATGAATAAATACAACAATTAGTGGCACGGATCATTTGAAGCTGATCCTCGCCATGGGAAGCGCTGCTTACTCCAGAAAGAATGTTAACGAGTTTGTCCAGGCTGAAATTGAGAAACTGACTAGCTTCTATTAAAAAAAAAATTGCAACTGACACTGCCAGAACGTCATATATTTTTTCTAACCTGTTGATTATGACACTTATTCACCCATTCTATGCGTTGTGACTATTTGCATGATTAATTGATCATCTTACCCTCTCAGGTTATAAAGCACGTAATTTTTCTTTTGTTAGGGTAGATTACATGCACCGTACGCTAATCATCTGTACGCACCAGTCACGTGACAGGGATCGCACAATTTAGAACTGGAAATTCCAGTTTCATCGGTGGATTCGAAAGCTCATTCACTTATGCAACAATAAGTGGAAACAAAAGTCACCGTGGGTAAAGATAGACCCGATCCATTTCGCGATCTCCTCGAGCGATTTAATAAATATTCCATCTGAGTCCTAGCTTCAGTACGTGGCCGCTCAGTTGGTCCGTTGACTCCAACAACTGTTATGCATATTTCATTTATTTTATTAACTTTTGTCCATGACTGAAAATAGAGTTGTGATATAGTACCTGATTTTCATTATCATTAAAAACCATAAGATGGATACCGACAATGTCATTTTGAAATTCACCACACTGCAACAGAAAGTGGCAAGTAATGTCCGTAACAAGAACGATGTTCATCCTGGATTCAGAGGTGCAATGGTGCTGTAACTTTGATAGGATTTATGGATGCATGTTCGAGATAAGCTCAACAGAATAATTTTTTTTGCTCTGTACTGTGTGAAACGATTGCCCTGCAGTCCTCGAAATCACCGACGCACTTGTGCAACATAAACTTGAGCACGTCGACGGACTTAGGCGGCAGCTTCAGTGACTATAACGGCTACGATACGGCGGCGGTTTAGTTCATCAGCGACTATACGTGGACTTTCATTCCGCTTGGCCTCCTTTAAGGAATTTTGATATCTAACTATGGATCCAATGTACTAAGCTGTCTCACGATGTGACTTGGTTCATCTAGAGGATATTCTAATTACGCACGTTAGTCGGCTTTTTTGAACATCACATTATTCATATTCCATAGTTTTGCACAAAATGACAAAGTTGATTCAAAGTGTGCTTTGCAACCGCCTGTGGTACCTCTGTTGGTATGTTGCCTCAAAAACGGCCGTGATTCGTCTGCGAGTCCTAATATTAGTATCCTATTGGTATCCTTATTTCACGGTCTCGCGCAAACGTCCTGAGCTGCCTCACAGTAAGCATACTTATTAGGGATGGACGGGTAGGAAAATTTGCAGGGTACCAGATGCAGATATTCAGTAGAGTCGGCCTTACCGGGTCCGGTTTCTCCACTCCCGAATTGTCCAGTTCTTAAGCGTCCTCTCTCACCCTTATTTTTGTTAACCATAAAATTGCTTAATTTTTATTACTGCTAAGGGGTGCTGGAAACCAGGCCCGATCCGGTTTTTCGAATAGTGAAAATTCTGGCCTGGGATGGGAGGCCGGGTCAGTTACTCATTCATCCCTATTTATTATAATAGTCATTTGTCTAATTACTTATCAGACAATGAAGGTTTCTGTATAAAATTTAGTTTCACTTTCTCACTTTTCTGCTTCGATACTGAATATTGTTTAATTAACTTTTGTGTCCTTTGTAAGGAAATCACGTCAACAGCATCGTTGATTTTCTTCTCAACCGTAACGACACTCGCGTGGGTGAATCTTAGCCGGCGGGTTCGATAATACTCGCGTTGGATCAGCATGTCATTCAAATTGATTACGTGATTTGACCCCAATATCGCACTTCAGACATGGTCGAGCACCTGTATATTTGCATTGATTGCGCACCTGTGCTATTGACCTTTGTCTATATCTGAGATAGTATTCATTCAAGTTTTGGTTGCTTTTCAATCGCCTTGATAAAAGCAAAATATGCAGAATTAAATTTGTATTTTCGGACACATCTAATACAAAAAGCTATCTGAACAATCATCAACAAATAAATCTTCAAAAGTATGTAAAATGTCTTACGTCGGTGCCTGTCCAAATGAGATCAAATGATTCATCACTAAATAC